TCGTAGCGGGGAGGTCATGGCAGAGCGCCAAGACTTTCTCTGCAAAATAGCTCGCAAATGCCTCACAGCCAATGTCCAATTCCCTCACATTTTGCCTGCCCTGTTGTGATATCGAACAAGTTTTTTGTAGCAAGAACAGACTGGCCTTGTTTGCTGTGGACCTCACTTAAAGTGAGGCATTCAGAGCTGTCTTCTGACCCTTTCTTTAGAAGACCTTTTCCAGTTTGTAGTGCAACAATTCCCAATCGTTGCCTGTTTGCTGATTTCCTTGAACTATATATTTAGGGCAGAGGCCTTCAGCCTTTCCAGATTTGAGACCCACTGAGCATGGGTCTGCATCACATCAGAGTCATGTGACAAGAGGAGGAGCCAGTGATATGACCTCCCTTGCTCAAGTGCTTACTATCTGCAGCTCACCCATGGGTTGAAGAATGCAGGTTTAGGGGCTATTGCATTATCCCAACATTACAACTGCATTGTATTGTTGCTGAGGACTAGCGAGGGCATTGCCATTTGGAGTGCTGCCTGGGATATAATTTCCCGATCTCTTAAGAATCAAGGGCAAATGGCATCAAGAACAAGAAAGGTAGGCAATAGGGAACGGCTATCCATTCTCAAGGCAAAGTAGAACCTTGTCAGTTTCATAAAACTAGAAGCAAGTAGTTGTTCTTCAGACTTTTTTTTTGAAACCCCCAAGGGGGAAATTTGATTATTTTTCATAAGACTACTGAACTACAATGAAACATATAGGGAGGGACTACAACTAGGGATAAAGAAAAGATACCCACACTAACTAAAAACCCAAGAGAAGGAGATCATTTCCGTGTTAAGCCAAATGCCAGTAATAAAAGTGTTAGTCACACAATATACTTGTAGAGTTCTTGTTTTACACTTCTATGTTAGTAAGTTAGTTTTTATGAGAGTACTTCTTGAGCATCTTCTTTGCTTCAAAGGGCGGTTTACAGAGTCCTTCTGCCCTTACTTCGGTTTTCTGTCTCTAAAGTCATATACAGCTTTCACTGTTCCCGCTCCCGCTTCGCCCAACGAGCCCTTGTCCGTTCCAGAA